TATACTTACAACAGACTTCTTCCTATAAGAATGATCAATACGCCTACGTTTTACTCCACTGAGAAATAATTTAGTGCTTCCAACACTTTAAGAAAACTAGGTTTAGATAAAGAGAGAACTAGGAACATGAGAATGTCTTAACAAGTTTATTGATTTTGATCAGAAAGTTGACATACTATACTATAGCAAAAATTATTGCATCTTTCATTCACTTCGAGATTTCACAATTAATTTCACAACCCCTCAATCGTCTTGAGATTTACACTAACTACCATAAATAAAACAAGAGCAAACATAATTCTGGTTAACAAATTCTACGATATGTCTTTGAAAGAGTAAATCTTCAAATTCTCGACTTTATATTCATCTACGATTCCATTAGCTTCGGTTGGAATCTCAGACGAGTTCTTCATTTGTCTGATGAGTTTATATGGTTCTCCACTCACCTGGCCCTGTCATAACAGGTCTCTTGTTAAAATTGAAGCCCTCGCCTATTGGATACTATCTCATCGTTGGCCAGCTGTTCAGATGTACTAAGCTTAACTAGTGGTATCATCTGCATGTATTCAAGAAATGTTTTGTGAAAATTCTAAAATTAGCAAGATCTATAAAATCTGTTAAAAGAGCGAAAGATTTTCTATCTCTCCCAACATTTGTTGTCATCTAGATTTAGAACATTTCGAATAATGTGTCGACGTTATGATGCTAAACGCTGGAAGGGACCTCAAGTCTAGACCATACAACACACCTCTCATAAAAGTGAATTTTTTTCTGTTGCCTTGGTCTTTATTCTAAACATAACAAAGAGTCGTGTTTTCAATGGTGTCGGTAGTCCATTGTTTAAGCTACTGGGCTCGTAATTCTGAGATTGCGGGATCAGGGGTTCGAGGCTCAGCTTGGTCTGATGTTGTGTCCATGGTAAAGTCACTTTGAATTAGCTTTCACATTTGGCTCGGTCCTATCGGAAATGGACGTCATATTCTGATGTCCTGTCTGTCAGATAACCCTACAACGTTGCAATGCATGTTTCACCAATACAATTTTGCAATTTTGCATTGACCAAATTTAGATCGTTTTGGGGAAAGGATGCTTCAACCTTATCCGCACAGGAAACAGAATTGCAGCAGAAAGAATATAACACTCGATAAAATAACGGTTTTTTGGGGTGGGAATCGAACTCATGTCTTCTGCATACAATTAAACTCAGATGTCGGCATTTATGATCTAACCTGAAGAGCGTTAGCTGTAATTAACCATGATTGGACGAAACAGCGCTTACTTGGTTTACCGAAAAGGAAAAATAGCTAGCCGACTTGATTCATTGAGTATGTTTTATTACAAGTTCGTGTACAAGCAAAAAGAGCAGCAGCTTCACACCAATAAGCAGAACCAAATAATTGGATAAACAATTATTTATCATTGCAGTGCAGTTCCCGACTTATCAATTAAAATTTAAAAAACAACATACCACCTCTCCCCTTCCCCCAAGAAAAAAAAATACGCCTGTTTTGCTCAAGGCCACACGCTAGCGAGCGATAACCCAAAGTTGTAAAGACGTGACGGCACAAGAATGTTACACCAGAGACTCCTTGGGGAAGTTTTTGTAACCCGGCTCGCGCTTCGGCATTCTCTCGGATATCCGACCAACTTGCAAAAAATGTTTGGTAACCTCCTGTATTAGATATACATTTTTAGCACAGATAGTAATGGTACTGGGATAGCTAAAGCAAGTGGATCAGGAAAATCCCCCAAATAGCGCAAAGCAGAGCAGATGGGCTGGCTCCGGCTTGTAATAAACAGGGAGTGGACCCTTAGCTGTTTTCCTCCCCGTGTATACTGTTTATTAATGAATTTATTTATTTCATTGTTTAATTAAATATAATTCGAAACCTTCTTTTTCGCTCAATCACACTGGAATCTGCTTTTACGACCACCTGTCCATGACAAGCACTCTTAAAAAAAAAAAACTCTTTCCATGTCTCCCTTTGAGTTTTTCTATAACAATATAGTGAAACTTTCCAAGAGTACCACCTGTATAAAATGACCACCTTTTTTCTTGACAATGTGCAGTCGTTTTAGACGTCGCAAGATTGTTTTTAGTTTGACAAAAAAAGAACAGTTGCCCAGGCGTTCGTAATAATTATATTCACTTTATTCACTTTTTCCCCGTAGTCTGGATGTCATGATTTACTCCTTCGTCTTGTATGCAAGAGACCCGTGTTTGATTCCCACACGAGAAATATATTTTTTATGTTGCTTTTTTTCCATTCTGCTAGCTGTAGTACTTTGAGTACCCCACACACTTCGGATTGGCCCTGCCACACAGTGTCCAAATAGCTCACCACCAAGATAATCTAAACTGAGCTTTTGGGAGTTGTAAAACGTTTACAATAAATCAAGTACTTGGTGTACAAATACGTTTCTAACATGTGTTCAGAGGCTTCATAACAATAAAACGTGATTATCCTTAATTAAAGGAAATACAATTCCTATTTGCAGAGTGTCCGAGGAGGCTGTTTGGTTTCAAGGGTCACCAAATTTGTTTTCTTTTTCAAATTGTGCCGTGTGTTTGAGAGAATGCCGACCGCGGGCTGCATAACCATTTAGTTCAATTTGGTATACTAATGTGCGAAAGATTTGCCATATCAGAACTGAACAAGAGTGTTATAAATCAGATAGAAGTTATGAGGTCTATAAAAGAACGTTGAAAATAACACCACAGTTCAATGGAATGATTAAAATCATTTCGTGATTAAGTCCTCAGCCTGCAGTAAACACACGTTTCATATTGTGTTTTCCCCTTGGTCTAGGTTTGCCATGACGGCTGGCCAGATGACATGACCTCACGAGCAGGATCTCGTCCGTAGTTTGGTGACACCTGTTTTGTTCCGACATCCTAACAAAAATTGTATGAGATTTATCGGGTTTTATCTGCCTTTCGTGGATGATTCCAGTTACGGTTTGTTGTGGGGGGTTTTCTGCGACGCACTACACGATGATCCAGGTTTTGTTTCGAAATGTTTCCTCTGCTCCGAGAAAAATCCACATAAAAATAGTTCCATCTGCTTTTCCGTTTAGAATTCTCAAACTTTGACGTCCAATATCTCAGTTTAGTTGAGTGAGAGTTTTGTTTGCATCATTTGCAACACAACAAAGTCATATAAATGCCGAAGATTAAAGATGGTACAAGAGAAAAACAAACATGTAAAAAGGAGGAGAGATAAGGACGATAGATGATTAATATGAAACAGGCACCGACCAACAACACACACCAACATCTAAAATATACATAAAATGCAGATAGAACCTTTATAAACTCATTCCACGAACCGCAGATATTGCCACCGCTCAACCCACTTCAGCCTTGCTTCAGTGTGTATACAGCAAAGAAACCAACAGCTATTAATCTTGAGTATGCCATACACAACTAACTGTAAACAGTTTTTAATATCTTTGTACCAACTTCTGCTTAAATACAAAGAACACCCTTACCGGTAAAATTCAAGGTAAAAGAAAAACAAAAAGATGTAAAACGAATCAGAATAAATGCTGGCCACAGCATGTGCGCCAGTAAAGTTAAAAAGGCATCTTCTTTTCCAAAGTGGAGCAGTCTGGCTTTAACGCCCCTTGCAAATCTGTAAGGCCTTTTAGAGGCGGAACCTACAACTACAACATCCATCTCCAATAGAAAAACGGCAAAAGGGAAAATGCATGAAAAGTGCTTTTTGGTGGGGCATAGCGTTGTCACATTAGAGTACGAGGTCTGTCCCAGAAGTACATTTCCCTGTTCTTTAAAATTAACAATGTTTATTTTTCAGGCATAAGAGTTCGTACATATTTACAGAAACAAGTTTTCAAAAAACGTAATAACCTTCGACCTCAATACATTTTTATCCGAAATAGCCAGAGGCCAAAAGCAGTGACTATGTTGGCTTCCGCCATAGTCTTTAACGTAAACATTTTCGAGCACAATTTTGATTTATTCCTCTACTTTAAATCGTTGCCACCCCCCCCCCCCCCTTTAGCCCTTCTTTGATTTGAGTGAAAAAAAGAAAGTCGTATGGTGTTAAATCTAGGGAATAACGAGAATGTTAAAATTTTAATGACCTCCCTATGCCAGGAGTCCAGGAGTTCGATGACTTTTTAAGAGCCTTCTTTTGTCAGCATTGACTGTTGAGCCAGAAGCTCGTTTCAAAATAATAAACAACATGCGCGTCATGTTCAAAACACCTTGCGTGCTTCAAACTTTCTTGAGACGCGTTTATCCTGGGGTTCCTTATCCCGATGACTGTCTTTTCAGTTCCGGATCCTACGAATACACACTAATTTGCTTGGCTTAACTTTCTTCGGGTGGGGCGGGGCGGGGGGTGGGGGGGAGATAACGCTTTTCATAGCCCCTAACTAGTTTATTGTGTTGATCATTTTTTGGACTACTTACGAGCACATGCACTGTTTAGATCTATTCGTTTCAAGAACAGAAACATGAAATTCTTTTTTTGTTTCAACACAAAAAGAAACAAAATGTTCAGGATTGAATTTATAATTGTGTTTAAAATCAGTCTACTGAGAAGTTGTATGACAATAAAACTGATTGTGATTTATCTAGTATTTTCCATTTAAAGACAGATGTGTGTAGTGTAACAGTTTAGAACCTTTGCCGCCACACACATTATACATGAGTTCGATTTCCGCGAGAAGAAATTTTTTTCTTCAATTATCCCAGTCAGTAAACCAGGCAATTTTATCCCTCCCGACAAGGGCTTACCCTGATACTGACGAAAAGGGTCGAAGTAGCCTGTCTTCTAATTGATCTAGAAGTGTTTTGATGCGAGCGTAAAACGTCTACAATCGTCAATTATCACGATTTACGTTTGTTGAGAACGTCATCTGTTTGCTCTATGCTGTACAGATGTCCCCAACGATGCGTCAGACTCACAATAGGCTCATGACCCAAAGTCACTGTGAAGTGACACAGAAATGACGAAACACACACACACACA